CTGGGAAGAGCCGGTTAACTGACACCATAAATGCGGCTTCTCAAAGGTGCTTATTTCCAGCGACTTCTAATAATACTCAGGGTCTGTAAGCAGAAAAGCTGCCTGTTTTGTCCAGTCGGCCGTCTAGTGATGAAAATGCCGGCCTCGCAGCTTGTCCTGTCAGTTCTCGCCTGGATCTTGGTGTCCTCGCCATACTCCGTGTGGCTTCCTGTCGGTGTTCGTGCCAGTGAGCGCTCGGTTTGTGGAGAGATGTTCTTCATGCTGTTCCCTGTTTCTTTAACGCATATTCACTTCTCAACGTTGCAGGCAGCAGCGGCGGCAGCAGCAGGTGGATCTGCCAGGACCAGTTCTAGAGCCGAGTGAAAGGCCAACCACAAGTTCGGGAGCACTTGGCAGTGACCCAAGTAAGACTTCCTCGGACCTCCACTGTGGAACATCATATGGTGGTAACTTAAAAAATTAAACACCCGCTTCCCCCACCGTCCAGCAGTTGCACTCCTGGGCAAAGGGGAAGCAAGTGCACACAGAAGCCAGGACCTGAAGAGCTGCAGGAGGTCTTTCTCCTGCAGGCCTGCCGGGGGGTTCGAACCACCGATCTTGTAGCCAAGCACTACTGCACCACAGTGCTCCTTGTAGTGCAAACTGGAAATGGTCAAAATGTCCTTCAGGAGGTGATCAGTACTATGATGTGCCGGCACCATGGCGCCTTTCGCAGAAATAAACCGGGACAGGCTTTGGCCGGGTGCCGCAGGATGGCACGCGCATTGTGTTGTGTGAAAAAAGAAGTCGATCTTGAATGTTCACGTTCCACACGATGCCGTTTGCATACCATTCTCAGAACCACGGAGGTGGTAATGGTCAGGGCCTGGGGAAGTTTGGGGGGAAGGGCAGTGGCTGAGGCGAGACAGGGAGCACTTGGAAGAACACAGGCCGTGGTGCTGTCTGGGAACCTTGACTGGGCGCCTGCTGCCGACACACACACACACACACACACACACACACACACACGACACCATCCTACAGAACTACGCGATCACATTGTGCCAAGGTCAGCTTGGGGTTTTTGAAGGGGACATCAGTGATGTCCTAAATCTTTATTGGGGGAAATAGGCCCACAGAGTTCACAGAACGTCTCTGAACTTTCTGCAATTTCCTGTGACTCTCTCCTACTTTCAAAATCGGAAAGTGAAAAAAACAGAGCTGTGGATAGATACACGCATACAGCTCAGGCTCCACTGCATTGTGTGAGTGGAAGAAGCCACACTCAGAGGTTACACACCCACTGAGGAAGTCTTTCCGTGACCATTCTGGAAAAGGCCTAGTGCTAGGGACAGAAAGCGTGCTCAAGGATGCCGTGGGCTAAGGGTTGACCTCAAAGAGGCAACACCAGGTAAATGTAATTTTGTGTAAGCGGGAGTAGGGGGGTGGAGTTGTACCTTGATTTTGACAATTCCATGTATCTGTCAAAACTTTACCCTGACAAGCGTGAATGTGACATCTGTGTAAATGCCAACTCCAAAAAGGAAATTGGAATGTTCACAATGACAACGCTTTTCTGAAAACTTACCCTTTAATGGCTTTGAGATTTTCCTGAAATTTCTGAGGCATGTGTTTTTCTTCCCCCTCAGGTGAGGCCATGAGCGAAGAGGACATGCTTCAGGCGGCTGTGACCATGTCTTTAGAAACCGTTAGAAATCACTTGAAACCAGAAGGGGGCAAATAACAATGCCTTTGACAGATCACTCAGATACTCATACTTTCCAGCATTATCCTGTGTGACTACAACATAGGGATTTTTGGTTTTTGGGTCCCCCTCTCCCCCCAGTCATTTGTCAAAGAGAACAGTGTACAACAGAGAAAATAAGACTCGTGGGTGGTTTGCAAACAGAAGGATGGAAAAGTGGGAAAATGCATCGGTCATAGGACTACATAATCTTCCAAATACCAGTCAAAGAGGCTTTCAGCAATTAAAGGAATTCACAGTGGTTTTCTAACTGTCCCCCTTTCGTTTCTGCGTGTGCAATATGTAGCATGTCTGCACTTAGGGTCTCCTCCGGGGAGCTTTTTGCTGACCAACTAACATAGTTCTTGCCCCAGGACTTGTTCCCTATATTTTTGGTGGCAGGTTTTTTTTGTTTGTTTTTTGTATTCTTTGCAGGTTGTTGAACCCACTTTCACCGTCCTAGTGCAGTGGTTCTCAACCTTCCTCATGCCGTGACCCTTTAATACAGTTCCTCATGTGGTAGTGACCCCCAACCATAAAATTATGTTCATTGCTACTTCATAACTAATTTTGCTACTGTTATGAATTGGGCGACCCCTGTGATAGGGTCGTTCAACCTTCAAAGGGGTCACGACCCAGAGGTGGAGAACTGCTGATCTAGTGGTTGCTGTGATTTCTCATTAACCACCCTGACTTTTTAAATCTTTTGTCTGTGTGGATGACAGCCAGGGCTCTGGGGTGGGGGAGGTGGGGGGCACAAACCGCTCTCCTTCCCACTGTTGAACGCTTTGCTGCTCTTGCCTTTTGTCACCTCCGATCACAATTTCTCTTCTCTGGTTTGTTTACATCATTTTATACAACTCTTCCAAAAGATGACCACCTAGCTATGCTGAAGTTCAGCGTTTGGAGTCTTCAAGGATGGGATCTTTATTCCACGTCTCGGTGCATTTCAGACTCGACAGTCAACCCTGCACAAATCCCCCCGACCACGTGTGAACACGTGCTTGCCCCGGATGTTGTCCGAACTGAATGTCTTCTCTGCTTTGTCAGCACCTACAGAGCGTCTTTGTAACCCCTCTCTCCTGCACCTTACTCCCCTGCTTCTCCAAGGGAGAGAAGTAGGGGACGCACAGTATGCAAGCCAGTTTCCTTTGGCTGTGGGACAACCTGTGACGCCCGCCGTGAATGTATGACAGAATAGATTTGGCCTTCACTTCTAGTCACTGTTTTCCTTGTCTTGTTTCTCTCCAGCAACTTCTCTGGAGCTTTCTGTTCTGTTTCCAGTTAGAAAGTCAAGTAGAGCGTGCATGTCTTCCCGGCCACAAATCCTTTCATAGGAAGAACTTGCCAGAGGCGATCTGGGCCAGGAAGGTCATTGCTCGTAGACCTTAGGGTTAGTCTGGGATTTGGCCCTGCTGCCATGTTTCAGTAGGTTAAGAATTTCAGACAATATGCCGAACTGAATGACCCCATCAGTAAGAAAACTTCCATTTGGATAGGCAGTCTTTAATAGGGTGGGCAGTTTCTGAATAGAATGGTAGGATTTGGGTAGAAATTGACAGTGGCTCTGAAATGGGCATTGAGATTCTGTCATCTGCCCTAACCTACCCTTTTGCAGTGTTGTAGAACATCGCTTGGGTCCCAAGCCTTACAGAGAAGGAACGTCATGTGAGCAAGAGAAACAGCTGAGTGTGTTGCTGGGCACTGGTTGATGGCTGCACTCATTTTCTCCAGGAAGGTTCTTACCATGGGAGTGCCTGCTAACTAACAAGAACAGCTCCCCCACCCACAACTTTTTATTTTTGAGAGACAGGTGTTTTTTTGTATTTGGGGGTAGGGTTAGCCATTACTTTGTGCCAAATGAAGTTTTCTTAAGTTTCCCCTAAAACAAAAATAGTCTCATTTTAAAATCTAGAGTGTTAACAATTGAAAAACAATTCAGAGGAAATATAAAATGTTAGAGCTGTGAGGGATGTTAAAGGTTGATACTATTCCCTCAAGTTTTACACGCCAGAATATTCTAGGACCCTGGTATGCTTAATCTAACCACACGATGCTCAGCATGTTTCCCATGGCTGTTTGGCTTTTCCCTTTGGAAAATTAACAGTAAGCTTTCGGAACACTTGATACAATAATGCACAAGCTAATAGTTACATTTTAACATTAACAAGGCTTTCTAAAGCTCATAGATCACCCAGCAACTTTACACACCCTGGGTAAAACACTTAAAAGAAACAGGACAGTTTGACCTTCACTTGTTAGAGATTTTAAAAACAGTTGGGCACAGAAGCTGCACCGTTGAATGTGTGTGTTCTGAGATGGTTACACATGGGTGCAGATCTAGAATCACGAGTGCCCTGCCATCCGCTTTGGAATGGCTGAATGTTCATTTCACACATAGATCGCATTGAGTAATTGATTGTGTCATGTGAAATGGTGCCCAGAGCCTCAGCCTCAGACACTTGCAGAGTTGTACAAGGCTATGATATAGCATGTCGGAGGGTGGGGGGGCACCCCTTTTATGGGACACCACCTGCAAGAAGTATCAAACAACCAACTTTACAATCACTGGCCTGCTCAGAACTTTCTAAGGAGTTGCAACTTGTTTTACCAATTGGGAAAACATAAATGTTTAATATTTAAACTATTGGTATCATTTTTCTAATGTATAATTTGTACGAACAGGATAAAAATATGTACAGTGGTGAGACTAGTATTCTAAGTAAAGTTTAAACAAGCTCTGAAAATACCACTTTTATATTTTCAGATGTTAGAGATTTAATAAGTAGTTATTTATGTTTTAAAATTTCAGAGTAGTGAATCTCTGATCCACAACTATCAATATACCTTTCCCCCTCCTTTTGAATGGTGATTAATGTGACTTTCAGTAGTGCAAATTATTTTTTAAAAGTTGCTGCAGGTAAACTGTTTCAATTCCATGATCTTGGCCAAATGATAGGCAGTTCACAATATTTTATTTAAGGTGCTTTACTTTTTTTACAATTCAAGTTTTCTTAATTAAGGCTTTCTTCACGATGCCAAATATATGGTCAATTTAAAGAGCAAAACAGTTCAGAAGTAGTTGGGTATCATTGTAACCAGAGCTAGTAGTCTGTCTTGTTTCCGTTACTATTAAGCTGACTAAATTTTATTCTGGTCCTAGCTGAAATCACATTTCTCATGTCTGTATGTTTGATACTATTTTTTAAATCTTGGTAACACCAAGGTTTACTAAATGCCTTAAAATTGGCCAGCTGGACCTGTATGAGTCCAAGAAAAGATTGATTGCATAAATAAAATATGATAACCAGGAGCTGGGGTAGGGGAGCTATAGAAGACAACAAATCTTGATATTTTAAACTCTTAGGAAAATGCAATGATTAATATTGACGGCTATTAAAATTTCCACCTGCATTTGCAGAGGCCGTAGCCCACTGTTTACAGAGTGAAATGGCTTTTTAATCTGGGTCCTAACAAGTGTGGCTATGATGTGTGATAATGTAACCTTAATTAAGAAAAACCAGATTGGACCAACTATTCATTCAACAGTGTAAATAATCATTTCCATCTCTCCAAAATCAAAACTTTACTTCATTCCTTGTCGCTTTCTAACTAGCATCTTTTTGCTAAAGAAAAGAACTGGCTTTTTATTGCCTTTAAATGTCTCGTATGTGACAATATTTCTTGTTCCATTTTGCTTTCATGAGCGACAAAGATTAGTGATATGGTTGGTTATTTGGGGGTGTAAGTTTCTTTTAAGAAAACCTTTGCTAGTTTTATTTTTTCCAAAATAGTCTGTCATTTTAAGAAGTCATGTTAGTAGCCTCACTTCTAACCTTAACACCAAGTGGCATGTTTACTTAATGACAGTATCTCAATAAACCTTTTAAGACACAAAAGTAGGAAGCATCTGTGACATACTCGTGAGAAGTTCCCATCTGCTTGGAAGCACTTCCGCTGTCTCTTGCAGAGGTGAAGGTTTCCTGGAACTCTTTAGGCTGTTTTCCTTTTGTTGGAAAGGGAAAAGTGTATGTTTGAAATGTGATTATCTAATTTCTGCAACACTGGACTATTAGGAATAACGTTCTGAATAATGACTGTTCTATAAAAAATAAACTTTGGGAAAAAAATAAACTTTGGAATTCAAGTAGTCAAAAAGATGGGAAATGATGAGCTGTGCTTAGCCGGGCCACATGCTCAGCACCCCCCCCACCCCCACCCCATCAGCCCTTCTGCGTGTTTCCTTGCCCTCACCATGCACGCGCGCACACACACACAGGCCTCCCTGCCTGGTCCCTGGGAAAGCCGGGCTTCCAATGCACTGTTACCACTGAGGAGTCTACTGTTGATGTGGGTTGTTCAATGAGCTGTATTTTAGATATCAAAAGATTATTAAAGAGGATGTTTGCTTTTTTAGTTTCCTTTTCTGTGTGTGTTTATTTTGTAAGTAGGTGCCGTCTCTGCCTGGCACTGCTGTGCCTGCTGATTCCCAACCTGCATTTTTCACCAGTTCCCCAGAGGGTTCTCGCCCACACCGATGGACTTTTGAGCAGCATCTCTTGGTGGGACTTTGTTAACCAGTTTCAGTAACAACAAATCAGCATGGGAGAAGGGGGACCCACTGTGAGGAGGGAGGCATTGGTCTTCAGTTCCAACTGACTGCTGCCCCCAAAGGGACCTTTATTACCAGAGCTTCTGACCATCTCCAAGAGAAACTTGGAATTCCAAATTTTTCTTTGAAATCCGACTCTTCATTTAGAAGCACTGCGTACCCTCATCTGATCCAACAGGGCACTAGATTGGGAACCAACTGACTAAAGAATATAGAATTTAAATTTGCGAAGGAAGGTTGTCTATCCATTTTAGCCTTAATTAGTTAGGGTCAGGCTGAAATTTTGAATGAGAACATTTTAAAAGTTTATTGCATACCTCTTCCTTGCGCGCATCTTTAGAGTACTGAGCAAGAGGACCAGCATACTGGATTTGGATGCCACGAAATGGCTTCAGTTATTAGCACTTGCCCGTGGGCTATTTGTGGAAGAAAGATGTGACTGACTGCGCCCTTCAGGATTTCCAGGGTCAGAAACCCTATGCAGAGTCGTCACGAGTTGGAATTGACTTGGTGGCGGTAGGTTGGGCTGGGTTTCAGTGGGTCCTGTAAATACATCATACTTGGTAAAGTGGATGGGCAGCAAAGAGGGGCCTCGTAATACAATTAATTGACATCAAGGCAACCCAGTGGGCTCCCACATAAGTTGTGAGGATGGCACAGGCAGGGTTTTGTAAGGTTGGACAGGATCACTAGGGTTGGAGCTGACTCAGTTTAGTAAAATATACATTCCAAACCATTTTATTTAGAAACCTTTACACAAGATTGTACTCACATCTCAATTTCATCTGTTCTTCCCTACTCTGTTGCCTCCATCCTTCTCTGATCCTTGCAAGAACAGATGTAAATCTTTCCTGCGCCCAGTCTCAGTGCAGTCAACCAAAGCAATTAGCCTGGAAACCTGAGGTGGCAGCTCTGGTCTGTCAAGTGAGGTCATTAAAGAGTCTTAAGTGAAAAATCCAAAACACCTAACAATATGTGCTTTCGCGTGGGCCCCCCAGAAGCTGATCCTGAGAGGAAGGTTCATGCAAGATGGTATTTCCAGGAGTGTCCTTAGGGTCACCTGGAAGGGATGTAGGGAATGGGGAGGAAGCCAGACATAAGAATATTAATTCCTTTATTTTTCATAATAGAATGTAGCTAAGGTCTAGAATATTATTTAGAAATTCAGTAGGACTAGACTATTATTTTTAAGCCCATCTCCATTAAAAGTGGATTTTCCTCCTTGCATCAGTAACATTTGGTTTTCAGAACAAAGGGACTGCCTTGCTCAGTCATGATGATTCCCCCCTGTTGAGCGTCAGAAACTAGCTTGCCGCTTTTAAGTGATGGTTGCCCTTTAGTTCCGAATCTCCACTGGGCAGGCTTGACCCCGCCAGCTGGAGTCACTCAGGCCTGGAGCTCTGTCCGAATGGGATATGTTTTGAGTGCGGTGGGGTTTTTTGCTACCAAGTAAGCACTCACACGGTTATTTGGCAGGAAAGGGCGTTTTCAACCAAAACTTTGAGACTATTATTATAAAAAACTTCAGATATAGGCAAAACTAAAGCCTATTATAATGAAGCCCGATGTACCGATCAAGGAACCCTGGTGACTAGTGAGTTTGTGTGCTGGGCTGCTAATTCCAAGGTCTGCAGTTAGAAGCCCCCAGCTTCCAAGACAAAGGGGAGGTTTTCTGCTCCGTCAGAGCATTAGAAACCCAAAGGGTCAGTTCTTCTCTGCCCTTGCAGGGTCACTGAGTCAGAAAGGACTTGACAGCGAGTTTGTTTCTTCGAACCTGATGTTCCTCACCTAGCTTCAAGGACTTCACCCCTCTCCCCTACCTCATTATTTTGAAGCACCTCCCAGGCATCTTAGTACGTTATTTCTCAAACACATACTTGAAGTCGGATGTTCACCGTTGGGGGTGGGGAGGAGTGGGGGAGGGCAGGAATTCCCCAGAACGGACTTATGACCCAGAGGTCACAGTGGTGGCCCACGGTGGCCTAAGATGAGTTTTCTTTGTTCCAGAAAAAAAATTCCAAAACCGATCTCACTGGCCTCGAGTGATGCCTGCTCACAGCTACCCTGTAGGACAGGGTAGAACTGTCCCTGTGAGTCTCCGAGTCTGTACATCTCGGAGTTAGGAAGCCCAATCTTTACAACTGTCGTCCTTGACGTTAGCGGCCCAAAGCTAATAACCAAGTTGTTTAAAAATAAAAAGAGGTGCCAACAGTTAAAAACCGAAGTTCTATTCCCTCTCGGCCCACCTTTCTTCAACGACAGTCACCCACGGGCGTCTTTGCAGGCGCCCAAGGCATGTGAGCGACGTCAGATGCTGCCTGCACACTTGCCAATGCAAACCGTCCTTCTTTACCCGAATCCTCCGTTTCTACCATGGCGCCTGGCAACGAGCAGGTCTGCAAATGTCCGCCCCAGTAACGAATGATCAATCCCTGGAAGCCACTTCGTAAGCGCTGGGACGATGCCGCCGGTCTCCGCCTGAGCGGTCTAGCCCCATGGAAATGACAGGTTCCAACCCCATTACCAAGTTCAAGGGCTTCCTACGAACCGGGAACTCCCTGGCCACGCCGGCCTCAGGGAATCCCGGCTGGAATTGGTGGGCAGCGCCGCGAGACCACCGGTCAGCCCGTCTCCCCTCCGCAGCACCTGCTGGCGGGCGACGTGGAGATGGACCTGGCCGGGCTCGGAGACGGCCGGCCCAGCCCCGCGCGGGAGGTCCTCCACGATCCCATCGTCCCTTGCGCCCAGGCCGCGTCCGGCCGGCTTCGCAGAGCCCTTCTAGGCCGCCGCGAGGCCTCTCTATGGTCTGGGGCCGCTCTCAGAGCTGGTGTCATGGCGGCCGGCGTCGAGTTGGCAGGAGTTGCCCACGGAACTGGGGGAAGTCACTAAAGCAGAAGCCGGGGGCCCTCGCCGGATGCCAAGGAGTTGTGAGGATGAGCAGAGGCTCCGCGGGCGCGGCAGTGTCACTGGAGGCGGCCCCTTGGTGAAGTCCGGGCCAGGCCTCTGCATTTCCAGCTGTGGGTGCCGTTGGTGGGCGACCCCTCACAGCCGGCGTGGCTCAGGACCCGTCGCTAGGTGATCGAATCTCGAGGGTTCTGATTCGGACGGAACTCGGGAAGACACCGGCGCGAGGACACTCGGCGGGGGTCGTCGGAGCAGGCCGGACGCTGTCGTGGGAGTGGACTGGGTGCTGCTCGGAGCCGCCGCGATGTCGTCCTGGCTGGGCGGCCTCGGCTCCGGCTTGGGCCAGTCCCTGGGTCAAGTGGGGGGCAGCCTGGCTTCCCTCACTGGCCAGATCTCAAACTTCACCAAGGATATGCTGCTAGAGGGCACGGAGGAAGCGCAAGGTAACAGCTGGGGCGCTGGGAGGAGGGGCGCGTGGGGCACCGAGCGAGCGCCCCTTTGGCCTCTCTCCTTCCATCTGTTCGCCAATCCGCCCTTCAGCCCGGAGCCCCTCCTGCCCCTCCGTCGGATTTCCGGCAAGTAGGGCGCTTCCGAGACCACCCCCCTGCTTTGCGCCCCTGCAGGGGTCTCCGAAGAGTGGCACCGCGCCGACGCGGAGTCGTTCATGTATCTGTACCTTTCCTCCACGCCCACCGCTCGCTTTCGCCTTGGGGGCGGATCTGATGGGGGTTATCGTTTATCCGGACACTTTGAAAAGAAAGAGGTCGCCCACAGATGCCATCTATTTTTGTTTCCTATTTTTTTTCACGGGTTGCAGTAAGTCATAATGCAAACATGTAGTGGCTTGTACCCACGCTGAGTGAAGTACATTATTTGATCGTGAAACACTTTTTCCCTAGTCAACGACTTTATATATTTATATATATATATATATATATATATATATTTTTTTTTTGCATATTCTGTTGATACGTGGCAGTGCTTCTGCTGCAAATGCCATTTCCTCCCTGTATTTTGACAGCAGAAAAAGTAGAAAATGGAAGGCACCCCATCTTCTGGGTTTCTTAACCCTTTAATCGTGTGAAGCCCTCGTCCTGCTTAGCGAAGGAACAGTGCCAAGTGACACAGCCATCAGTGGTTAAGTTAATTACTATTTTGACAACCAAGGCTGTTTGAATCCAAGGAGTTCTGTAATTTTGATCTAGCTTTGCTTCCCTATCAGTTAATAAATTGACCGCCTGGTTTAGTTTGTTTGTCCTGGTTTAATTACGCCACGGTGTTTGGTGTTTATTTGATTGAAATAGAGGTGGCGGCATTTACATTAGCTTCAGTATTGCTCTCACTGCCATCGAGTTGATGCCGACTGATAGCGACCCTATAGGGCAGGGTAGAACAGTCCCTATGGATTTCTCAGACTATAACTTTTTTTTTTTTTAACATTTTATTAGGGGCTCATACAACTGTTATCGCAATCCATACACACATCAATTGTGTAAAGCGCATTTGTACATCATTCTCAAAACATGTTCTCTCCACTTAAACCCCCGACATTAGGTCCTCATTTTTCCCCTCCCTCCCCGCTCCCCCCTCCCTCATGAGCCCTTGATAGTTTATAAAGTGGGTGAAGGGAGACGTCGGACAGGGCAAGATATGACAAAATACCAGACTATAACTCTTGACAGGAGTAGAAAGCCTGTCTTTCTCCTACTGAGAGCCCCGTGGTTTCGAACTGCTGACCTACACTGCCATGGCTCCTCACTATTACTCTAGACCAGTGGTTCTCAACCTTCCTCTTGCCTCGAGCCTTTAGTACAGTTCCTCATGTGGTGACCCCCTCCAACCGTGAAATTATTTTTGTTGCTACTTCATAACTGTAATTTTGCTACTGTTATGAATCGGGCAACCCCTGTAAAAAGGGTCGTTTCTCCCCCACCCCCCCACCCCGCCCCCACTGCTCTAGACACTAGAAGAAAAGGAGACGTAAGGTGCTACTGAAATACATTTGACTGATGGGCTTCCTGTTGGGTGGGAGTGCAGGGTGAGGGATAGGCAGGGATGGGACTAACAGGCTTCTTCGTGTAGGTCCGAAAAAGGTCCAGTAACCTTGAAGCTAGCCAGAAGCCAAGAAGAGCTGGGGTGATGGGTGAATGGGTCAGGGCCAGTTTCTCCCTGTAACCGCCAACAAATCAACAACAAACATCCCCAAACTCACTGCCATTGCTTGAGTGGATTCCAACTCACAGCAACCCTACAGGGCAGGGCAGGGCAGAACAGCCCCTGTGGGCTTCCCAGACTAACTGTGAAGTGAAAGATTGGCTGTTCCTTTGACCCGAAGACAAAGTGTAAGTACCCCACTCTGCCCCTACCCCGCCCCCAACCTGGATGTCCTGCAGGCTAGAGAGATTTCATTTTTTCTTCCCACCAAATGTGCTCTTATATTCATAGTCTTTCTTAGTGAGTGGTTTTATCATCTACTCAAACTCTGAAATTAGAAATCCTTGCTATCTTCTGCCCTTTTCTTCTCCTGCTTCCAATCAGTCACCAAGTCCTTTCTTCTGCGTCGTTGGTTTAGACCCCTGTCTCCCATGAACTGTCAACGTTTCCTTTCTTTGCTGCTCTGACTCCTGTCGATTTTCTGGTGTTGCCGTAGTTACTTTGCTAGAAACAAATTTGCTTAAAAAAAAACCTTTGACTGTTAATAAATAACAGGACGAGACCCGACTTCTCCATCTGGGAGCTCAGGATCTGGTGGCAGCCTACCTTCCCGGCTTTAACTCTTGCTCCCTCTTCTCTCCTTTGCCCCTAGCTCGTCCGCAGGCCCCTGCCTACTTGCTCCCAGAGCTTCAAGCTTCTGCCTGGGAAGCCCACCCTTCACAACCTCCTCCTCTTCTTGGTCCACCTCTTTTGCTGGGCAGTGTTTTTCCATCCCTGCTGGCATGTCAGATAGTTGGGGAGACCGTTCTCAGGCCCAGGCGGCTGAGCTGATTGCAGCTGGTCTGAGTTCCAGTAGGTTTTGTATCTCTCTCCTTGACAGCACTTAACCCTCTGGAGTTGGGATTTTTCTCTACCTAAGGAGGGCACTTTGTTTTATATTGTCATTGTTAGGTATTACCTGTAAATTTCTAATATGTTCCACTTTGGTATATAGTAGATGCTCAATAAAAATTTTACTGAGTGATTAAAACTTGGTAAGGTAACTTAATACTTTAGAAAAAATTAAAACAACTTAATATTTAATATGTTACATTTTATAAAATACTTAAAAGTAGGGTCAGCATAGAGTTCACTTATTCAACACGTGTTTATTGTCATCCCTGAGCTAGCTGCAAGCAGGAAAACAGTCCCCAAATAGCACTGTTGGTGCACCTTACAAATGACCTGGGCTTGCCGTCAAGTCAATTCTGACTCCCAGCAGAGTTCCAAGAATGTAATCTTTAGAGAAGCGCTGCCACTTTTTCCTGAGGAATGGGCTGGTGGGTTCGAACTGCCAACGTTTGGATAGTAGCTGAGCACTTTAACCACTGTGCCACCAGGGCTCCTCTTACAAGGTTAGATTGGGCTTTTAGAACAGGAAGACATGGATTGAAATCCTACTTCTGGGCATCACACATTGAGGGACAATTGGCAAATTATTAAATACTTCTAAAAGCACAGTTTTCTCATCTGTGAACTGGGGATCGTCTTGATCTGTTGCCAGTGTGGGGGCTAAATGAAAATTATGAGTGTAAAGTGACTAGAATTTTGCCTAGCAATGAGAAGGCACTAATAAACAGTAGTTGTAATTTTTTTCATTATGGAATTCATGTGTGTGTTTTAACTAAAAACTCTAAACTCCCTGCCATCAAGTCCATGCTGACTTGTTGTGGGGGGAGGTCAGATGCTTGCAGCCATCCTCCCTGAGGGCCATCAGTTGCCAGACTGCAGTGAGCCCCCCTCCTTGCTATTAAGGACAATGGACAGGACTGCAGTCATCCATTTGGTTCCTGTAGGTGGGGTTTACACCCTACTGATAATGGTTCCTACGGAGATCCAGAGAACAGGTCAGAGTTAAGCTGCCATCCTAAATCTAGGATCTGCCCATCTTATCCTGTAATTAGTGGGCTTGCATGCCCCCAAAAGGTATATAGGCCTGGGTTAGCAATAGGCTCTCTGGGCTTCTCCCTTGACCTCTCCTGGCTCCCTCTCTCCTCTCCCGTCCCCTGTTCCCTTTCCCTTTGCCCTCCTTGGCCTGAGGTGAGCATGCTACAATAAAATGTGTCTGACTCCATTATTCCAATTTCTCTTCTCTCATGCTCTCTGTGACTTTACTATAATCTTTACTTATTACCGCTGTACAATTGCGCCTACTGGACCCGTGATGATGTGCTAGGGGCTGGCTTCCCCTGGCAACTCATAGTGACCGTATAGGACAGGGTAGAACTGCCCTTGTGGGTTTCTGAGAGGTAACTCTCCGCAGGACTAGAAAGCGCTTTGTCTCCCATAGAGTGGCTGGTGGTTTCGAACTGCTAACCTCATGGTTGACATCCCAATATGTAACCACCATGAGTCAGTTGACTCAATGGCAGTGGGTCAGCTCATCAGCTCCCCTTTATTAAAAAGGCCAGGCTTCTGGGGGGTGGGGTAGGGGAGGATCTGCATTCACTTCTTTCTTTTATCTATCTTTAAGACAACTGCAGCTTCTTAACAAGTACCTTCCTAAGTAAATTCCATTTTACTTTGTCCCCATTAGCGTACCAATCAGACCATTTCCCGGCTTTACCCACTAAACAACCCTAGAAGTAGTAATTTCACCTGATGGTTTTCAAACCAAAGGTCAGGTTTGTCCCTGTTCTGAGTGGTTGCCACTCGGATTTTCTTTCGCTTGAAATGACTGTGCAGAGGACTTGTTTTTCGTAATAGTACAGTGAGCGCAGTTTACGTACCAGGTGGAACCCTTGCTCCGTGGCCTAACCACGTGGACCAGGCCCATTTGAGTACCATTTTGGCACTGAGCTCATGGCCATTTTGAGTAAATGTTATCTGAGCTATGAATGTTTTGTAGTACATTTTCAGTCTTCGTGGTTATTAATTGACAGTTGTGGGGACAGAAGGTAGAAATAAGGCCTTAAGACCGTGGTTCTCAACCTTCCTAATGCTGCGACCCTTTAATACAGTTCCTCATGTTGTGGTGACCCCCCCAACCATTAAAATTATTTCCATTGCTACTTCATCACTGTCATTTTGCTACTGTTATGAATCGGACAACCCCTGTGAAAGGGTCATTCGACCCTCAAAGGGGTCTCGACCCACAGGTTGAGAACCTCTGCCTTAATACCTTTTTGATGAACACACCTCCTAAAACTATTTGTAGATCACGCCCAAGGGGTAACTGACAACAGAAGCCCGAGGTCTAGGCACTCAGCAAAAAGCAAGCCGGCACAGTGGTGCAGAGCAGGAATGGCAACCGGAAATCGTGCTGCGAGCCAGGGCTCTCTCCTTTCTGAATTTGCCCTCTGCTCAGCGTGCCCGTGAGCTCAGTGTTCTTCAAATGCCTGTTGATTGATGACCTCACCTGTGTCGATCACATGTTCAGTCTGTGCTGTTTCTTTCATAGCCGCGGTCCCTCACGTTAGGAGAGAGGACATCGAAGCCATTCACGCAATCTTACGATCAGAGGTAAGGACATGAAAGAGTGCTCTCAGACTTGAGAGTTTTTTCTGTTTTGAATTTATGACAGATTATTCAGACTTGATGTTAGGCCTCTCTTTTTAAGGTGTACTGCTTAGCACTTTCTATCTCTGGCCTTTCATAGCATGTCGTCCAGGTAATTGCTGCTCACTGATGTGTGGCTTTCTTTCTTTGTGCACTCACCGCAGGTGAAGAGTACATCGAGGGCTTTTAAACATTTGTGGGAAATTCTATTGCGTTTTAAATTCCATGTTTCCACAAGCTTTCTGAACCCCTGTATTTTTTATAACACTACGGTTGGTTAGTCCTAATGCGCCCATCTCTGTTTTGCTACGCTGGCTGTAGGACAAGTGCCAATCGTAGAAATCATAGTGGGAACCATTTGTCCTTACCAGTGACTCACTTATGTTCACATTGTGTTAAATTGCAGTAGTGCGTTTGCTGAAGTGTAGATGTGAGGCATGTCCTTCTGTTTAATCTAGAGCTTCCTAGCCCTCGGACATTATTTTTTTACCAAGTGGCATTTGTATGGTAGACATTAAGCACACAGGAAGAACCATTCTCGCCTCTGATCCCCCTTAGCCAGTGCCTGGCTGTGCCTCGTAGTGAGGACGGCTTGGGAAGGGCCCAGAGGAAAGCCCCCGAGGAAAGGTTAAGATTTCGAAGTGGGGTTGATTGGGAAGGACTGAAGACGCTCAGCCTTCGCGCCTGACGGGAGGAGCGGGGAAAGACACGTCAGAATGGTGCCTTTGCCACACACGTTCTCAGAGGACAAGGACCAGCAGCGTTTCTTCTCCGCTCAGCCTGACGAGGGAAGAGGGAATCGACACATCAGAGACTTAACGAGCAGGGACATCCTTGAAGCCTGGTCTAGATTGCCCAGGTGAGCTCATGGAGTTTGAAAGAGCAGGCCCTTGCCAGAGGAGCACCAGGAGGATTCTGTCCCAGTAGAAGATGACCGTGTGGCAGCACTGAGCCCTAATTACTTAGTACAGAGGTGGGTGCTCTAGCAACAGGACCGTCAGGCAGAGATAGTGCCTGTAGCTGAACAAGCACGCAATAGAACAGCCCCACCCCACCCCCAAACATTTGCACCGAATGTCTGCTTGGTGTGGAGCTTGGACAGGCAGATAGAGTTCTTCCATCCTCTTTGATCTCAGGGCTTCGAAGGTCTCTCATAGTGTTGTCACGGGGCGATGGCAAGATGGTTCTCGTGACCAGAAATACTTGTACAACGTATCCCTGAACGCACGCACGCAGGTGTTTTCACTTGGTCCTTAGTGTACCGTGACCTATTCAGGTACTAGAGGGAAGCAGCCAGGTGGACTTCCCAAGGGCTTCTTTCCTGAGAGATTCTGACTGTGCATGATTCTTGCCTCAAGTGCTGCCTTCTGACTCTGATCCCTTATGTGACTGTAGCACATCCCTTGTTGACTCCCCGTGGGCAGAGGCGAGGTGAAGATATGGCCAGCGTCGCTCAGGAACTTAGAGTGTGAATGTTCTGTTTAGAACGCGGAGTCTTCTCTTTACAGCAGTCAGTGTAGCAGCCCACCTCGTACCCCACGGAACCACCAGGGCTCCTCTGAAAGCAGCAGACTGCAACCAGCCTCACTGCTGTCGAGTCCGGTGCCAACCCCATAGGACTGAGCAGAACCGCCCCTGTGAATTTCCGAGACTGTAACTCTTTATGGGGGTAGAAAACTCTGTTTTTCTCCCATGGAGCAGCTGGTGGTTTTGAACTACTGACCTTACCAATTGCAGCCCCGTGCATAACCACTACACACAGTTCCCCCAAATTGGTGGTGTTCTTTGAATACACTTAACTGTTCGTTAACTGCAGTGCATGAACTTGAACGTATTTCATCTAACGAGACTGATGGCAGATTTCAGTGACTCTTCTGATAGGCTGTAACTTGTCATTACTCCTGGCCCTTCTTTCAACCTGGGATCGCCAACTTAGGGGCTTCATCGTTTTGTTGAAGAGACATTGACTCTCTCCTTTCCTCGTCGATTTCAAACATAGCCTTTTTATTCTTAGGTTTGTAAGTACTGCCTGGAATGACCAGTCCGTTGGATTTGTGTTCATGTCTACACCATCAGTTTGCTTCCTGTTCGTTGTCTTTGTGTGCACACTTCCTTAGTGTCTGTTTACTTATGTTCCCTGTCAGATAGCGGTGCACAGAAACATATAGAATGAAAGAATATCTGCTTGTAGCAAAACAGGATGATTCCAGTCCTTATTTAAAATATTCCAGGATAAAATATTTTTCTGTTGAATGGCGTTACTTGACGGGAAGACTGTGTTGTTTTTGTCAACTCTGACTCACAAGAACCTTATCTACAGCAGAGGGAAACATTGCCCTGGCCTGAGTCAGTCATGCTCAGAATTGTTGTAGTCACGTCACGAGTCAATCCATGATGTCCTTTCCAGGGACTGTTCTCTTCTGATCACATGTCAAAGTACAGGAGACTACGTCTCGTCATCTTGGCTTCTAAGGAACGTTCTGGCTGTATCTCCTCTAAGACAGGTTTGCTTGTTTGTTATCCTTCCTCCAAACCATAATTCAATCCACCAGTTCTTCCCTGGTCTTCCCTATCCATTGTCCCGGGGAAGACTGTACTCCCTTTTCAGTCTTTGAAAAAACAATCATTGACTGTTGGATCTGAGAAGACTCATTGTTTGCTCTGTCCTCCCCATGCAGACACTTCGGAGGTTACTCTTCTGCAGGTGTTGTCACTCCGTCATTCGACGCTAGAATGCTGCTCTGTCGTCATAGTCATCGAACTTATGTAAACATTTTTTTCTCTTTACTGAAAGATGGAAAAGTTTGAATTCAACTGTGTTTAACGGAAAGTTAAAAAAAGAGGGGGTATAAAAATGTCTCTAGATTGCTTTTGCCTTCTTAGAAAGTGTTCAAAAGGAAGACTTTGGGCCATGCAGGAAGGAAACAGGCGGTTTCTCCAGTGCGTCATCCTTCTGGTTCCATTAGGGTTCCATTGTCTTAGTATCCTATCCCCACCCCCCTGATGTCATTGGATTGATTCTGATTCATGGCAATCCCTTGTGTGTTATTTTAGAATGATGTGTTATGTGTAGCATTAGGTTCCATAGGGTTTTCAATGGCTGCTTGTTTCTGGAAGTAGATCACCAGGTCTCTCTTCCGAGGCACCCTCAGATGCACTTGAACTTTCATCCTTTTGATTGGTAGCAAAATGTTTCAAAATACAGAAAAAATAAGATGACTGGGATCCCATGATTTCTTCTTGAATTTATACAAGGGTTGAATCAACCCTCATGGTCATAGCAAGACAGAATGAATTTTATTCAACCAGAATACTCCTCAGAGGTGAGGATGACAAGACTTTGTCTCACGTGCTTTGAACATGTAACCAGACAGGAGCAGTCCCTGGAGAAGGACACCGTGCTTGGTAAGGTGCAGAGTCCATGAGAAAGAAGCCAGCCGTCAGTGAGACGAATTGACGCAGGCACTGCAGCAGTGGGCTCAAGCCTGCAGTGATTGTGAGGATGGTGCAGGACCAGGGAGTGTGTTGTTCTCAGGAGCGTGGGGCCTCTGGAAGTTGGAATTGATTTGACAGTACCCAAAACCAACAGGAGCCCATGATTATCCTTAGATTTATAAAAGCATCCTATTGGTAAATTGCAAGATGTAATGCACTTTATTGTATCAAAATAAATGCATTTTCCCCTTTGTTTGTTGGAGGTCCTCTGTGAGAGAATAAAATCCACAAATACCTGTTCATAGAAGCAGAACTGCTTAAATGAGACGCACACAAACTAGGGCATGCTCCAGGGTAAGCAGAATGAGTTACTTCAGGGATCATGAGTTTCTTGTGGGTTCCTCCGAAGGGGCTTGTAAGCAGAGCTGGAGGGCATCGATCGCTCCCACTTCTCCTCTGGGTTCTTCTCTGTGTGGTCGTCTTTCCTTTCACATCCCATCATCCACATGCTACAAAACATGCTGAAGATGCTTCCTCAGCTCTCCTGACTCACCCAGGGGCCATGGGAGCTGACACTGGTCAAGTGTGGGCTCTGCCAAAGGTTTCCATGGTCTGCTTATTGCAGGGGTTAAACAAATAACCTAAGTAGTAGTATTATTACATGAAAAAGCCTAAAGTGGACTTACACAAGGAAGCTTCAGAAAGTTCATGGAAAAATTCTATAATGTTTTAATTCCATTTTTTCCCAAGGACATTTTGAAGCTCCCACATAAGACCAGATTTTCACCAGTATATTGTGTATGGAGCCCTGGTGGTATAGTGCTTACTTATTGGGCTGCTTTCTGTAAGGTCAGCAGTTTGAAACCACCAGCTGCTCCTTGGGAGAAAAACAGGCCCTTGAAAAGAGCTGCA